GGGCCAAGAAGCCATGAGATCCATCAAGCGTTGCACGCGGCCCTCCGTCTGCTGCTGGAGAAGCTCCGCCTCCGCAGTACACCACCGTAGCGAGCACGTGGAAGACTCCCAAGGCTGGAATCCAGAAGGAACTCCATCTGTTCATAAGACTAGGTTTTGCAGGTGGTCCACTTTTCCTGGGTAGGTCTTCCCAAAGATGTCACCTATATATATATAATGGAATATATGTTGGGTCTATCCTATGACCACCAGTGGATGATGATGGGGCCTGGCTGCAGGCCTTTCCATCTCTCAAAATAGTGAGTTGCTTGTTTATACCAACTGTTACAGGTTTCCTAGGACAAACCCAAGGCATACTTGCCTACATGAGGCGCAATCTAAAGCCCTAAGAATCCTTGGTCCAGATATTTGAAAACCATTTCCACTGAAGGTGATTCTTAAGCAAGTCAGTACCCCAAAATACCCCAAATAGACAGGGTCTGACCTGTATTGGGTGGTGAAATTCAGGCTCGCCTTAGCCGTAGCCTGGTGGTGTTTTCTGGAACTGCCGAAGCACCGGAGGATCTGGACCTGGACCATCCTCGCTTGGGACCAGGTCCTTACAGTGAGTCAAAGGCGGTGTCCTCCAGATGGTCGAGCACCGAACATGAACATGAACAGACTGCTAGAAAGTTCAACTTACAGTACTCAAGATTAACATATATAACTTATTCTAGTTTTTACCCCACCGCATCCCACCAGCCATATCATCCAGTCCCAGACAGGTCTTTTCATACGCTCTCACAATCACATGGGATGGGATGCGATCCGATGGCAACCAGGTGTCTGGAAGACGATTTTGCTCTATGAGCAAGGGCGGGCTTCCCCTTGCTCCGGTGGTAACGAGCGTGGGCCACGACCGAGCCTCCCAACGGAGTGGTCATGACCTCTATTTTGGGATCACCAAGCAACCCAACATATGGTTCAGCTTCCTATTAAAACTATACCAGCGTAGACCCCAAACAGAGCAATGTTCAAAAATGAGATCTCCGAACAATATGGCCAGCAGTATTTCCTAGAGGAAGAAAACTGTAGTCCACCATGTAGACGCACATACAAGATTCAAAGGGAAAGCATTAAAATTCTGTTTTTCATTGACTTTACAATGGGACGCCGTACAAGGCTAAAACATGAAATTTATGGATCCAGGTTGTGACATATGTTGCCCCCCTTGTAAACACGAATGCGCAGACCCAATCAAAATGAAGATTTCCTCAGAGCACGGACACTGCGCTTGGCTTTTTCCTTCCTACGCAGTTGCCTTCTTTGGCTTAGCCATGTACTGCATTGACCTGTGTTTGCCATAGGAGCTTTTCGCGCTTTCCGCATGTTGCAACACTCGCGAAAAGCAATCAGTAACAAAGCTTGTCTGATAACATGTCGCAAGATGGCGAGCTGTCCCTTTGGCAAACTGCAACACTAAACCATGCGTCATTCATGATCTGAGCTGGCAAACTCATCGACGGCCCAGTGCAGCCAATGCAGCTTTCAAACTCGAAACACCAGAAATACAACAGAGCAACGACCTTGTGCGCATAAAAAATTAATCGGCCCAGCATCCAGCCAAGCCCGGGGATACAAAGCATCCAGACAGGCCATGGGAAACAAGTGGAAGACAAGTGAGCTTACTGGGAGGCAAGTCGAGACATGTGGGAGACAAGTGTGAAATCATGCGGCCAGAGCACTCAGAGCATCCAGAGCTTACTGGG